TGAGACAGAGCACCAGGTGCAGGGTGGACTCCTGGATGTTGTAGTCAGTCAGGGTGCGCCCATCTTCCAGCTGCTTCCCGACAAAGATCAACTTCTGCTGATCGGGGGGATGCCCTCCTTGTTTGGATCTTTGCCTTGACATTCTCAGTGGTGTCGCTGGGCTTGACCTCAAGGGTGATGGTCTTGCCGATGAGGGTGTTTGTGCAACAGAATATCCACATGCAAAAGAGTTAAGTTGGACCCCCTACCTCACATTATATATAAAAATTAATTCAAAGTGTATCTAAATCTATAGAGCTAAAATTATAAACCTTTTAGAAAAAAACATTAGGGTAAATCTTCATAATGTTGGATTTGGCAGTGGTTTTTTAGATATGACATCCAGGGTACAAGCAGTCGAAGAAAAAGTGGATTTTATAAATTAATAAATTTTGTTGTGCATCCAAGGACAATATCAAGAAAGTATTAATAAAACGACATTCCACAGAATGAGAGAAAATATTTGCAAATCATGTATCTGATAATGGTCTATATACCCAGAATGTATAAAGAACACTTACAGCTCAGCAACAAAAAGATGACCCAATTAAAACATGGACAAAGAATTTGAATAGACATTTCTTCAAAAGGTGATATACAAATAGCTGGCAAGCACATAAAAATATGCTCGGCACCATTCATTAGAGAAACGTAAATCAAAACCACAAGGAGATTCTATTTCACATCTGCTAGGATGGCTGTAATCAAGAAAGAAAGAAAATAAATGCTGGTGAGGATGTGGAGAAATTAGCACCCTTTTGCATCGCTGGTAGGAATGTAAAATGGTGTAGCTGCTGTGGAAAACAGTTTAGTGTTTCATCAAAAAGTTAAGCATAGAATTAACCATGTTGATGAAGCGGTTCTACTCTTAAGTTTGTATACAAGAGAATTGAAAACGTGTTCAAACAAAAACTTCTATGTGAGTGTTCATAGCAGCACTGTTCACAATATCCAAAAGGTGTAAACAACCCAAATGTTCATCAGCTGATGAATGGACAAATAAAATATGGTATATCTGTACAGTGGAATTAATACATGCTACAATAGGGATGAACCTTGAAAACACGCTAAGTGAAAGAGGCCAGATACAAAAGGCCACATATTACATGTTTCCATTTATGGGAAATATACAGAACAGGCAAATCTACAGACACAGAA